CTGTGACAAGACTCTGAGCTATCTTTCTAGACTTCTAGTTTCCACCATAGAAGCTGAACCGCCACCACCGGCTGGGATCTTCAGCGACGGGTGTTGACTCCCTCATGCTCTCCATGCATGTCACAGAGGTAATAAAAGACGCTTTGTGGTTGATGTCGATTTCTATTATCTTCTCTAACTAACATGTTTAACAAATTTCAGGTGCTTTCTCTTCAATCGATCACCATAGCTTCCATTCTTCTCAGATCTGAGAGTATGATTTGGTTCTCTTCTTTCTGGTTCTACATGCATGCAAAAAAAAAATCACATATTCTATTGTAGATTTGTAGATTAACCATGCATGTACTCGATGATGTTGCTTGATGTTGCTATGTTAGCAAAAAATATGATGTTCTAAAACTAAAAATCTGATATTGTTAGATGTTATGCGAATGTGTTATGGTGTTTAAAATATTATATTTTTCAGATATTATAAGTTAACAAAATAAAAATCTGATATTGTTAAAAATAAACAATAGTATAATTTTTCAGATATGGTGTTTATATGTTTCAATTTTTTGTTGTTTAGCTTAGTTTGATGTTATGCGAATGTGAGATAGCATGTTATGGTGTTGACTTATGTGACCACAATGTGTTCTGTCTCTGTCTCGGGTCAGCGAATTTTTGCAGCATAGCTGGTGCAAAATCATTCTAAGGAATGAAGGGTGATTGTTCAACGGGTATGCTGCAAGATTCGCTGCGTAGTTAAGAGAAGGCTTGTGTTCTGTCTCACTCTATGTTTAGATGTTTTTATGTTATGTTTCATTGTTATGTTAACTCGGCTTTCTTTTTGTGTTGTCTTGCGATGATGGAGTAATGGTGAACAAGGAGGCAATAAAAAACTAGTTCAAACTACATATGCTCAATAGTTAGCTGTACCATCCGATATAACTGCTTTAAGGAACTCATGTTAGTAAATTCCTATCTTGAACATATATTATAGTTTTAATTAGGTTGCTCTGCTTAGGATATCGGTAGGATCAGTATGTTGTTTAGCTTGATTTGCATAGATTAAGAAAATATTATGAAAATTTCATGTCTAGCTGTTTAGCTTGCTTTGCGTGGATTAAGAAAATATTGCAGTGTCATCCGATAATTTTTATTTGGTTGTGTTACTTGTGTACTTGTATAAATGTTCAAAAAAATTAATAAACAATATTAACAATTTTTTAAAAGAATTTTTACAAAATTTAGAAAACCTTAATAAGCTTAGGTCAGTTCTCATTGAAACCAAAAAAAAAACACCGAAACTTGAGTGAGAGACCATGAGATCAAGGGGCGACTCAAAAGATCAGTTCACTTTAGATCCGAACTACTCCCCACTAAATACTGTGGACTTGGAAACTCAGCAACTCATAGCTAATCTTGCTGTAGAAGAGGAGGTCGCTTATCAGTTGGCTGAAGGTGATGTAACTGGTGTTGATGGAAAGAAGCAATGAAGCAAAAGAAAGCTTATCAGTCTTGTCGATGAAACTGATGATTCTGATGTTGAAATCACTCCATCAACCCAAACAACGAAGCCTCGCAGGCGGATCACTTTTGGAACAGCCACGAGGAAACCCACGTTGCAGTCCACTATAAATGGTAGCATTGACTCGTCCCCTCAGGTGTATAGTAAGGAGAATTCTGTTCCTATGAAGTCTGTGATTCGTGGAGGAAGAAGAAAGGCAATGACTATGTCGCAAAAGAACAAGAACGCGTCTCGCCAGTCGCCAAAGAAGAAGGCTGCGCCTACTCAGTCCCAAAATAAGAAGGAGAAGGTCGCAGAGGACATACCAGACTTTTACGACGAAATGGATAAAGAAGCGGGTGATGAGGATGAAACCGTTGAAGAGGAAAGGGAAGAGAGGCAAAGATCACATGTGTAGGTCTATTTCAAGGTGGTCCAGAAACCCAATGGAAAGTTGAAAGCTGCATGCAATCATTGCATAAATGAGTATGCATGGAAATCCCACTCGCATAGAACCAGTGGGTTGAGAAGGCATTGTTCGAGATGTAAATTGTATTCAAGGAATTGAGGAAGGCAGCAACAACTCAATAATGAGGGGAAAATCGTTTCTCGCAAGTATGATCATACTATGTTTAGGCAGATGGTAGCTAATACAATAGTCCATCATGATCTACCCTACTCGTATGTGGAGTATGAAAAAGTGAGAGACAATTGGAAGTATTTGAATGCTGATGTCTGATATACCATGATTTTGACCCGCTTTTAGCCATGGTATTGATATGTTTTTATGAGTTTTATATATGTTTTGGAGTCTATTAGGTATGTTTTCAGGTTCAGTAGCATTTTGGAGTAAAGTGATGATTTAGGCGCCCTTTTGGAGCTTAAAAGAGAGTTTTCCGAGATGACTATGAAGATCAGACAATAAGGATACATATCGATCGATACACACCCTGTGTAATCGATCGATGACGCTTCTATTGAAGATGAAGTCGAGATACTCCATCGATCGATGTACACCATGTACCATCGATCGATATGATGCGTGGAGAGAAAGTCCGACTTGGCCGACTTGAAGCCCAAGTCTTCCCAATATTACAATAATTCCCCTGACGAGTTTTTAACCTAATGGAACTCATATTTATAGTTTTTGCTATTTTGTTTGGCTAGACATGCTTTTTTAATGTTTTTATTGTTCTAGTTCCTTTTGTACTTGAAAAGCTTTGCATACTTTTCTTGTTCCTTTGTTCTATTCTATAAAGTATTTCTTTTCATCTTAATTTATTAAAGGTTATAGAATTCTAGATTTAGAAGAAACACACAAAGAGATTTGTTGTTCCAAGAACCAAAAATGCAATCTTCTAATCTATGAGTTTCTATTATTACCTAGCTGTTATGAATCTCTCAGCTATGTCTGAGTAGATTTCTTTGTTAGATTTAGGGTTCAAATAGTTATGAGGGATTAACCCCAACTATGGAATGTTGAATTGTTGATATTCATTATCCAAATGAACCCTAATGCTTACTCTAGAGTAGCTACCTAGAGTATGATCATGGATGTGATTTAACTTGTTAATCATTGTCCTGAAATCATTTGGCATGAGCTTAGATCCTCTAGGGTTGTGCGAGAGCCGGTCTATGATCTTGGTGAACACAGTTTCGATTCGATCTTATGCTACATCGATCGACACTCCTATAGAGTCATCGATGGACAGCAACCCATATCGTCCGATATCGCTGTCAAAACATCGGTCGATATTGCTGGCAATAAGATCAATGGATGTGTCTATTTAGCGATTCCTATTAGATCTATCTAAGAATCGAAGTTCTCATATATCTTGCAAGAAATTCATTAAAACATCTATAGCATTATAATCCTAACTATCTGAATAGCAACCTTGAATCTAACTACTTTCTTTTATTGTTTTAAACCTAAACTCATTCTCTTAAGCAACTTATCATTGCTTACAAAACTGAAATTTAAAATTTTAAATCTAATCAACCTAGCATAATCATTTAGGATTACATCTATTCTGTTCCTTAGTTCCCTGTGGATTCGATCACTAAGTACTACAATTGAACCTCTTATTTGAGAGAGTAATTCACTTCTTAGGGTTAAACATTTTAGTGATATCAAATTAGGCGCCGTTGCCGGGGAACTTTGATAACATTAGATTTAATCTGATTAGGTCTAGGTTATTTTTCTTTTATTGTTTAATCATCTTCTGACACCAAAAAAATTTTCTTGTCTTTTTCTGGTACATGCTCAGCAGTACTAGAAGCAACAAGAACAAACACCTTTTGTACTCAGAAGATCCTCACGGCTTGGAACGTAGCATCCGCAAAGACCTAGGCTCCTCATCGATTGACAACAACTCATCCCTGTCGACCGATACTTGCCTACCACAGTCGACCGAGACACCTTCAACGTCGACCGGTACTCTCACCGTCACATCGCTCGACATCAACAACCGATTCGTCGACCGATACCTTTCACTTGACATCGATCGATATACCTCATCTTACATCGATCGATACTAACCAGCGAGACATGGTAGTGCCTATTATTCTCACAACCGATGAGAATGGAGACCTGCGTGATCGAGATGGTCACCTGCGTAATGCAGCAGGTCAGAAGCTGAACGCTCAGAAGGAGATCATACCTGAGCAAGAAACTGCACCTACAGACATCATTCAACCTGTAGAAGAAGCTAACCAAGCTAGATCGTTGGCTGACTACAACCGTCCAGATCAGTTCTATTCTAACCGATCAGCCATCCGCCCTCCTGCTATTCTGAGAGGAGATTTCGAGCTTAAGCCGCAGTACTACACTCTTGTAGGACAAATACCCTTCTGTGGGTTGTCCAATGAGCATCCTATGGACCATCTGGAGAGGTTCGAGGATCTCATAACCGTCATAAAAGCCAATGGAGTCCCTTAAGACTATCTTCTCTGCAAGCTTTTCAAGTACTCTCTATCTGGAGAAGCTTCGCAGTGGCTGAGACAACTACCACCAGGTTCTCTCACAACCTTGAGTGACATCGAGAACGCATTCCTGCGTAACTTCTTTGATGAGTCACGCGCTGAAGAATGGAGGAAAAAGATTGCTACATTCCCTCAGAATCCTGAAGAGTCACTCAAAGATGCATGGAACAGATTCAAAACCTACCAAACAGATTGCCCACACCACAGTTTCAACAAAGTACAACTTCTTTGCACTTTCTACAGAGGCATCACATTGGATTATCATAGAGCTCTTGACACAGCTAGTGATGGCAACTTCAACACCAAGAATCCACAAGAGGCTATGAAGTTAATTGATAACTTAGCTTCCAGCAACAACACAAAGAACTTCATGAAGACAAAAGCTACATCATTCCTTGGGAAGGAATACATCAATGAAGTACAAGCACAGCTGGATACCATTCAGAAGTTACTAAACAAGAAGATCTATTCAATGGAGGATGCAGAGACTGCATGTGAAGATTATATAGAAGAAGATGTGAACTGGGTCAGTGGAGCTGGTTTTCAGAGATCTGGAACCCAAGGAGGATACATAAACTACACAGGCCAGAGAAGCAACTTCAACCAGAATCCACAGAAGCCCAACA